CGACCTCCTAAATAATCACAGCAGTCGCTACACGGACAGGCAAATGCCACACCCAAATCCACTTGCTAGCAGGCTGGCCGACCCGCAATCTCTCAGGAGACTTAAGAGACTACACACCAGCGATCTGTCTTCCCGTTTGTACATTAAAGCCAGTGTTGCCGTCAGCTCGTTACAAAGGCTAGATTGATTATAAGAAAAGGATAGAAAAGGACAAAAATTTTAGAAAAAGGACAAAAAACAAGACAATATTTTTTCCATACATCTTATGTAATATCACTATTTATTGTTTGCCAACTCATTTAGAACATCGTCAAAGTCATCATTACAAGACTCTAAACTTTCATTTTCATTAGATTGGTTGCTTCCGCACTTTACACAAAAATAAAAAGCGGATAAAAATGGCCAGTCCGAAATAAAAAAAGGACAGATAAAAGGCTAGGGGATGTTAAATGTATTCCCGCTGAGGCGGCTGAAAACCGGACAGATCTGTCCGGAAAAAGGCAACACTGGTTTTTACCAATGTAGCTTGGCTAAAACCACGCTGAACTTCAGCATTTGACCAGGACAGCGACAGCAGTTCTAGAGCAAATGTTGCCAATTCCATAAATGGGTTATTGCCAGCCCTTTACGCAAAAATAAAAAGCGGATAAAAAAGGCCAGACCAAAATAAAAAATGGACAGATAAAAGGCTGGGGGATGTTTTCAATTTTTTCCGGCTGAGGCAGCTGAAAACCGGACAGATCTGTCCGGAAAAAGGCTAAAACGGCAACACTGATTAAAGCCTAGTACTCTGACGGCGAAAATCTGCTGTAACACGTGTTAGAGCGGCCAAACTCCATATTAAAAAAACGGTGTGAAAAAAGGAAGAAGAAGAACTTTTAGCCTCGTCGTTTTTGCTAGTACTCTGACGACGAAAATGTTGCCTGCGAAAATTGAATGGCGTTGCCAGATCAAGATAGTAAACAGCTGATATCGCGCTGTCTAAATAATTCATTTGATTTATTTAGACACCCCTAATGGAGGTAAAGCCTAGTACTCTGACGAGAAAAACCCGCTGTATAAATTAGACAGCGGAATCGCTGTTTATTTCGCTACCGAGCTAGTGTGACCAAAAAAATTAAGGAAATTCCATGAAAATGTACTTTTTATGGCGTTTAAGGATTTTCCTTGGTCACACTGGACAGCTGTTTGTAAACAAATATTCAAAAAAAATATTAAAAATATTAATAAATATGGCATTAAAATGTCCTTTGTGGGTTAAATTCCATATTATGGGCTTCCCCTTGACAGCCCCTATCAATGTCACCTTTTTCCTTCAACTTTCCCTCCATTAGGGGTGTCTAAATAAATCAAATGAATTATTTAGACAGCGCGATATCAGCTGTTTACTATCTTGATCTGGCAACGCCATTCAATTTTCGCAGGCTTCATTTTCGTCGTCAGAGTACCGAAAAAAACGAGGTGTCTAAAAGTTCTTCTTCTTTTTTTTTCGACACCGTTTTTTTTATATGGAGTTTGGCCGCTGTCTAAATTTATACAGCGGTTTTTTCTCGTCAGAGTACTAGGCTTAAACAGCGATTCCGCTGTCTAATTTAGACAGCGGGTTTTTCTCGTCAGAGTACTAGGCTTTAATTTAAACAGCGGATTTTCGTCGTCAGAGTACTAGGCTTAACGATAGACTGACAAAAACGTGCCAGTTCGTTATTGTTTTCAAACTAAACTCAGTGATTTTGTCATGCCATGTCACTGCTTTGAAAGAGTGGAATATTTTCGAAAAAGCAATTGCTTGCAATGGCTAATGAGTGCAAATTACCATACTTAAGGGAGGGGTAAGGTATTTAATTTTTTTTTTGTCGTAATTTTTTTTTTATTTTTTATTTTAAAGACTCAACATCTTAAGAATATTGTGTCTAAGTTTTACATCGATCATAGAAAATAGAGTTTAATGAAGGTCGTTTGGTGTTCAACGTATGAGAATCACAAAGTTTAAAGGGCTCTCCTGAATAATGCCATTTTGAAAATCGGTGTAAAAATCTACTGAACCAATCGGTTTGAAATTTGGAACATACTTCATTAATTAATTCTACAGGTACTCACGCCAATTTTTTTTTTAATTTTATTATATTTTTTATTTAACAAATTAACTTAATTTTTTAGTCAAAAATCGGGGTTTAGACTTCAAATTTTGATACAAAATCAGGAAAAAAAAATTTTAATAAAAACGCCACGTGAGTACCTCGGTACACTTATCCTTTTACGAATGAGGTATACTTTTTTTAGATCGGATAATCATCGGATGATGATCGGACAGTTAGGATGTACACCGCAAACCAACTTTTTTTGGAGACGACTCGGGAGATTCCCTATAACTTCTCTACCTCTTAATATTTTTCAATACAAAAATTAACAAAAATTGTTCAAATGTTGTGTTAAAATATGGTATTTAATTTATTAAGCTAACTTTACTTTACTACATTTGGTCGATTTTTGACTATGCCACACATTAGGTATCTGGCGACACAAAGGCACTATTTCCCTAATAATACCAGTGGCTTGCGGACTGTTTTTAAATTTGGAAAAAATAACAACCAAATGGGAAACCACAGAGGTCGTTCAAACCTTATTAAAGAAAGGGATTGAAGAGTGTTTGTTTCCATGTTGGATCCAAGCTTTAAAAAAGATCTACTTAAGAACTACCTCTGCATCCCGGCATCCTGTACCGAATCAGAGAGGATGTTTAGCAGAGCAGGACAATTGATATCGGATAGGAGGGCTTCGCTAAAGCCAAAGCGTGGAAGACCCTTTTGATGCTCAACAAAAAACCAGTGGCTGCTGGAATTTTTTTTATTTATAATGAGAATACTTTTTTATTTTATTTGTAATTCGCAAGGAACGGACGATCTCAAAGTTGTGTTTCATTTATTATTTTGTTGTTTAATTAGTAATCTTAAAATTAATAAAAAACAAGAAAGGAAGCTAACTTCGGCACGCCGAAGTTTGTATACCCTTCCAGATTGGTTTTCATATTTATATCATAAATTATAATGCCGAAAACAGACACTAAACAGAGTTTCATAACATTTTACCTATACTTATTATGTTTACAGTTTGACAGTTACAGTTATACATTCACACCTTTACATTTTCTCTACATCTGCGGATCGCTTCTATGGCAGCTTTATGATTTTCATAATATTGTTACCAAAATTCTGAAATAATACTAAAAGCTCATGCGGCAAAGTAGATGAAAATACGTTGAAAAACAACGAAGTTATAATTTTTTTTGATTAATTTCCCGATCGTTCCTATGGCAGCTATAAGATATAGTGATTTTCATAACATTTTTACGGAAATTCTGGATTAATATAAAATGGCTATATCTCAAAAATGATGGAATAAAATTCTGATAAAATACCAGAAGCTCATGTCTCAAATTAGATTAAAATACGATGAAAAACAACGAAGTTATAATTTTTTTTCGATTAATTTCCCGATCGTTCCTATGGCAGCTATAAGATATAGTGATTTTCATAACATTTTTACGGAAATTCTGGATTAATATAAAATGGCTATATCTCAAAAATGATGGAATAATATTGAAAAACACCCAAGTTATAATTTTTTTTCTAAAAATTTATCGAACATTTGTATGGCAGCTATACGATATAGTCGTCCGATCCGGCTCGTTCCGACATATATAGCAATGAGAGTATATAGAAGACTATATGCAAAGTTTCATTTAGATAACTTTATAACTGAGGGACTAGTTTGCGTAGAAACGGACAGACGGACATGGCTAGATCGACTCGGCTGTTGATGCTGATCAAGAATATATATACTTTATAGAGTCGGAAACGTCTCCTTCACTGCGTTGCAAACTTCTGACTGAAATTATAATACCCTGCAAGGGTATAAAAAGTATTCTCCCATACGCATACTTTTATTTTTATACCCTTGCAGGGTATTATAATTTCAGTCAGAAGTTTGCAACGCAGTGAAGGAGACGTTTCCGACCCTATAAAGTATATATATTCTTGATCAGCATCAACAGCCGAGTCGATCTAGCCATGTCCGTCTGTCCGTCTGTCCGTCTGTCCATCTGTCCGTCTGTCCGTCTGTCCGTCTGTCTGTTTCTACGCAAACTAGTCCCTCAGTTTTAAAGCTATCTGAATGAAACTTTGCATATAGTCTTCTATATACTCTCACTGCTATATATGTCGGAACGGGCCGGATCGGACGACTATATCATATAGCTGTCATACAAATGTTCGATAAATTTTTAGAAAAAAATTATAACTTGGCTGTTTTTCAATATTTTTGCATCATTTTTGAGATATAGCCATTTTATATTATTACAGAATTTTGGTAAAAATTTTATGAAAATCGGACGACTATATCTTATAGCTGCCATAGGAACGATCGGAAAAAGAATAGGAAAAAAATTATAACTTTGTTGTTTTTCAACATATTCTTATCTACTTTTAGATATAAGCTTCTTTTATTATTTCAGAATTTTGGTAAAATTTTTATGAAAATCGGACAACTATATCATATAGCTGTCATATAAACGATCTGTAAATGTGGAGAAAATGTAAAGCTGGGAATGTAAAACCTTAACTGTCAAACTGTAAACATAATAAGTAAAAGTAAAATGTAATGAAACTCTGTTTTGTGAGTGTTTTCAGCATTTAAATTTATAATATAAACATCAAAACCAATCTGCAAGGGTATACAAACTTCGGTGTGCCGAAGTTAGCTTCCCTTCTTGTTATTTTATAGATTTTGTAAGCCTGCGCCATGCACACTCTTCGGAACATACTCTTTGTTAGAGAAAATCATTGGAGAATCTCCAATTTCTCGTCAATTCAAAAAATAATCACGGGATTTCCTATACGACTGAATGACATAAACTGTTGGCGATGCAAATTCGATATTGATTAATAATGAAGAGCTGAAATGTGCCAGACAATATATAACCTTCAAGAAAATATTTATTTGGATTTGCAAATATGATTTTCGGAGTTCGTTTATTTTATTAGTAATTAAAAAGGTGATAAAAATCCCATTTCACATAAGTCCAATATTAATCACAGAACACAGCTCTCCGGGGCGCGGCCTAATTCGGTCCTCCTCCGCCGCCCGAGGACGCGGAACTGGCATTCCCAGCACTGGCCGCAAAGAGCTTCCGGAGATTCTGCAGAATGCCCCAGAGCACTGTGCCCGCCGTACCCAGCGTCTCCAGGACATCGAACCCAGTGCTGTCGATCGCCGTTTCCCTATCCTCTTCTGTTTCGATGGCCGGAGAGCTGGCATTTCCGCTGGAATGATGCGGCTCATGCACACCATGGTGTCCAATCAGGCGGTGGGTGTTGCTTTTGACATGGGATTCGTTCACTCCGCCACCGCCTACCGTATTTATAAGGTGCCTGACCGGCTCCAGAACGGGAATGGCCAGCTTGATGCGATGCTGCTGCTCATGTTGCTCACCAGTGTTCTCCATATCATCGTCCAGCGTGATGCGCTCACTGACCGGATCATCATCAGTATCGATGGTGACCTGCAGACTGGAGTTTCCCGAACCCGGCAGCTGCAGCAAACTTCCAAACAGTTGCTGCAGGTGGGCTGAATTGATGGCCTCTTTCTCATTCCGCTCAAAATCGAACTCCTCGCGGGGTTTATTCATTGGCTTCACCAAGACAGTCACATGCTTCATCCCCGGCTTGGAATCATTGGGGTCTGTTGGTTTAGCAGACGTCGTCGTTGTCGTCAGCAGCAAGAGCCACACCAACTACAAATATAGACGTAGATATAGATAGAGTTTAGGGATATAGGGAGAAACGGAATCTTTAATTGGCGCTTAATGACCGCCTTTCAATATGTACGTTGCTGAATATTAAAAAGATTGATAATGAGGCTTTCTATATTCAAATCTCAACGCGCACGCGTTGCTGGACCTTGAAATTATTCTACCAGTTATGAGAGTACTACAAATTGGAGATGAAATTTTGGAGGTATGATATCGGGTGTCGTCATTGAATTGTCTGTTGATACTGATATTCTAACTAAATCCTCACTGGTCGAAAAACGCATAAGAAAATGCTACTACCATGTTTCACAGAAATGAAGATACGAATTTGAGCTTTAAAAAGCTGGAGATACCGTTCTCTATAAATGATTCCAGTTGGCACTAAGGGTAAAACTTACAAATATTTCTTTAAAACATATGCAAATACACCATAAACACTGAACACGAGGGAAACTTGTCTGTAAAGTTGTCAGTGGATCTTAAAATCGTAAATACAAATCTACATATCTTATAGGAAGATGTCAATAGACATCCATAGTATCCTATGCTGAACATATCCTTAACCGAAAGTGTGGTAAATTTTTTACCAAACTCTGCTTATTCACATATTTAAAGCTTCACATAAACAAAGATAGCGATCAATTAAAATGCCAAGTACAAGCTTACATTCGAAAACACAATAAAACATAGGGAACTATATGAGGAATTGGACAAACGCAACATTGTCAATGAAATATCCAAAGCTCTAGCTCTTGGCTAGAAATCAAAACTGAAACCGAAACCGAAACCGCTGCCAGCAAAAGCAAAAATTAAACTAAACTTGACTGGGTGACCAACCATCAGCTCAGCTTAAGGCAATGGGTCGGCCGATAATCAATTAATATGCAGATAAAGTACAAGCAATTGTAGTACCCAAATTTAATTCAATATGCATTTAGAGGCCCCTCAAACAGAGGGTTCTCTGAGCCTAACATAAGAGGCATCGCATACATCATATCATACTTTCGAGAGAGCTGAGACCGGCAGAATATCGGAAAGGAATAAGCCGATCAATGAATACACTCATAGACTACTAAGATCGATTTGAAGTTAAATTGAAAATAAAGCACATTTCATAGATCGCAGTGGGCTGGCAGCTTTTAGTTTGGGGCTCGACATAACACGTTAAACAGTGTAAAACTGTAGCTCAAAGCTTTTAGAGCCTTTTCCTGTATTTTAAAATAAAATTTCTGGGCCTAAATTCTAAATTTCAAAATTTCAGTTCGATCAAGCAACTTTAGTAAATTAATAAGTATGAGGTTGTTTGGTAGAATTACGCGTTTTATACAGGTGAGTGTCGACAGTGCTAATTCTGGGTTGCGTCTGAACGTTGTCAAAAAAAAAGTGCAGCCGATTGTATAGTCTAATTCGGTTCCACAACGAAAGGGAATTTCTGGGAGGCTCTTTATGTATCTAGAACAATGCATGTTAGTGTGCCAGGGACCATTGTTAACGCTGTGGGTGTAGAGAGGCCGAGGGGAGAAATCTGCCTATGAAAAAATAGAGCCGTTTCCGACTTTGTCTAACAGTGCTTACTCGGAGGCTCGTCTGATTAGAAAAAAGCTGCAGCAAGTTGTTTGTACATCCACCACGAAAGCTTGTCAGCAAACTTTGCTACTGGTTATTACGCTTCACAGATATATTAGCTGGTGTAAATTCAGCTAAAAAGCACCAGGTAGCACACAAAAATATGCCCCAAACTATGAGGTCAGTAGGCCTTGGGTTTTGCTGTCAGTTGGCTTCTATTTTATTCTCTTTCAGTGCGTTCTACACTAAACACTCGTCTATTTTTTAAAATTCTTTTCTATTCAAAAGTTAAATTTTCTTAGTAACCAAAATTGAAAAGTTTATAATAGCTAACAATGCGTGGTATTCTTGGCTGCTTGCGGACTAACCGGTTGAATACGAATCTTTTGCAGATATCCCGATGCATCAGTTACCATGCTCCCCATTTTCGCCCGCGCAGTTTGCTCGGTGCCAACAGGCTTTTTGAGCTAGCTAGCTCTGCCTCCTCTGGATGTCTGTCGACGAAGATCACGATTTCGTCGAGCTCCGGCCACATACGGGTGCAGAGGTACTCGCAGAAGAGCTCCAATGTCTTCAACATCACCGAAAACATCGACATGCTGCGCAAGCGGATCAGCTTCTCTGGTGCACCCAACACTGCCGCCCAGATCCTGCCCGTTGGATTAATTACGCCAGAGGCTGGTGACGAGAAGGACCTCAAGATCGTGATTGTTCCTTTGAACCTGGCCGGCATGGATGCCAACGGCCTAAAGGAGACCCTTGAGGCAATCAACCAGCTGCGCATGTACGCGCACCATATTGAAGCCTTTTCTAGCAGTATGGTCGACGACTACAACGCCTTGAACGAGGCCTTCCAGGAGGTTGACTCTGCGAAGCTGGAAAAAGAAGCCAAACTCGAGGCCACTGCCAAGGATAATGCATTCTGGGATGACTTTCCCACAGCCGATGCAGTGGCCACTTCATCGCTTGATGCGCACCTTGGTCTCAGCACGACCCTGCCGCGCCAGGAGGCGGTTGGCTGCCTGCAGGATGCCTTGAGTAATCCAAAAACTGGAAGCTCGCCACTGAAGACCAGCAAATCTATGTCGGCCGTGGCCCAACCTAACCCCCAACCTAGCCCCCAACCTGACGCCCAACCCCTTACCCGATTCTCGGCCGTGGAAGCCGACCTCAAAAAAGCTACCATTGGGGACGACATCATTGACGAGGTTCAAGTGGATGTTCCACAGGATCTAAGTGATCGTCTTAACGATATGGCAGTCTCGTCAATGGAGCTCTCCTTTGAGATGGACATGACCAACCTCCGCGATGCCCTCGCCAGCAATGACAATGCTGTGAACAACCAGGATCCCATGATCTGCATGCATACCAAAGTGGAGATGAGCTCGCCTGGAGAGGAGAAGAAAACGGTTCCGCTCAGGTTCAATGGCTTGATTTCGGGAGTCGTGGAGATCGATGCCCAGAAGCTGAATCTGACGGACGAGCAGATGCCCGGATATAACGACCACCTCACCGCGCTGGCCGCCAACCTGTGCAGCACAGCCTTGGAGAAGGGCTTCTCCAAGGACACGAGTCTGCAGCTTATCAAGGGAGATGCGAAATTGATGGCGCTTAGTGCGCAAGTAGAACATCAGCGTGAGAAGATAGGGGTTGCTGATCAGCAGCCTCAGGCGAATTTCGCCTATCCTTTGGAGTTGCCAGTGCCCACGGACAAGGATGGGTGCAAGAACCCACCTGTCAAGCCAAAGCGCAAGTGTCCCGGAAAGTGTCCTTTAATTGACGACCCCTGCAAGGAGGATCCCTGCAAGCGACCCGACGAAAAACAGAAAAAGCCGCCCAAGAAGGCTCTAAGTACCACGGAGATTACAGCTTCGACCCAGGCCGAACCGGAACCATGTGTCAAGGACGCAGAAAAGAAGGATCCATGTGCCAAGGAAGATCCGTGTGCTAAGGACGACAAGGAAAAAAATGACCCTTGTGCCAAGGACAGTGAGAAGAAAAAAAAAGACAAAAAGAAAGACCCCAATGCCAAGAAAGCCAAGAAGGACCCCTGTGCCAAGTTTAAGAAAGGCGGCAAAGATGGCAAGGGCGGCAAGTTTTCGACCTTCGCCAGGAATCATAATCCAAACAAGCGCTACCTGTCCACGGCACTGAACCAGGCTTTCCCCGAGCCCGGATCGCATTCCAGCCCTAAGGGTCCTCGTTTCCCTGTCTTCTCGACACTTCTGCGCCGTCACTACCGTGTCGCCGTTCCAAAGGTCCCCTTGACACAACGGCTGGTACACAAGGTTAGTCCTCCAGCCCGTTTTATTATTAACTCGACAATCTTGCGTCGAGACTATTCGAAAAAGAAGTCTGGTGGCAAGTGCGGAAAATTGGACTCGAAATTCCCCAAAAGCAGGGGCAAGGATATCAAGGAGCGAACGGGTATTCGCGAAGACTGCTTTAAAGACGACGGCAGCTGCGGCGTCAAGAGTTGCACCGGCAAGTGCTCAAAAGTCAAGTTCCCTAAGAAGAAGTGCGACCGCAGTAACAAGGACAAAAAGAGTGAGTAGATATCTAATAGAATGCTGACCTACCACCAAAAACTTCACTTCCCAACGCAGAGTAGGCAGGCTGTTTGGCCAGTTTGCTGCCGTACATCTGCAATCGCAGCAAAGGTTTTTCAGCCCCCTGGCTAGTATTCAACCATCTCCGTCCGATTTGAACCCAAACAAGCACCTCTCAAAGGGTCAAGGATACGCCTTGCGTATTTCGGACTCCTTCAAAGTTGAACTGATACCAATGAGTAAACCCAGTCCAAGAGATTTCGGTGAGTTCACAGTAGAATCGTAAACTAATATTCTTAATAATATCGCTCCTGTGCGCCCGTTAGATGTCCTTATACGAACAGGTTCAGTGGCAATTTCGGGCTCGGACATCCATGTCTATGAAAACGGCAACCGTTGCACAGAAGCTATGTCTCTAGGTCACGATGCCACGGGATACGTGGAGGAAGTCGGCCGCAGTGTCCAGCACCTGAAAGTGGGAGATCGTGTGGTTGTCGAATCTGCACTATCCTGCAGCATCTGCGACCTCTGCAAACAGGGGCTCTACAACATGTGTGCCGGGTTGGTATACAATGGATTTTTGAGGACCTTTCAAACGCATCCGGCTGACCTCTGTCACCGGTTGCATCCATCAATAAGCATGGAGGAGGGAGCTCTAACCCAAACCTTAGCCTTGGGATGTCAAGCGTGCTTCAAGGGCAACATAAGGCCCACAAGCAATGCCCTTATTCTGGGAACCTGCCCCACGGCAGTAGCGTCGGCGATTTGCGCCCAAGCAATGGGAGCCAGGAAGATAATATTTGCCGGATGCAAAGGTCCCGCCCTCGATGTGATCTCCCGAGAGTTTGGCTTCGATGCTGTCGAGTTCGACAACAGCAGCCTCTTCAGCGAAGTTCTTGAGGCCATCTACAGTAAGTTCCAGACCTGGCCCAATTGTGTCATAAACTGCTCCATTTCGGCAATGTCGATGAACCTGGCAGTTATGGCCCTGCAGCCGTGTGGTGTATGTGTGTTATCAGAGTGCGATTCCGAGTGTGCCAGCTTCAATGCACTCGATGTTCTGATGAAGAATATCCGCTTGATACCCAGTTTTCGATCCGCCAACATGTAAATACACTAACAATGAATATATAAAACAAGCAATTAACTCTCACTACCCCCTGTAGGTATCCCACTGCCCTGCAACTTATGGACTCTAGGCAGGCGTGCATGAAGAAGTTCATCACGGCCACGTACCCCTTATGCGAAGCGGACCAGGCCTTCCGGTCGGCGCGGCACGAGTCAAATATGGGGCTGGGTAAAGTCATTGTTAACTGTGCAGAAAATGGGGCCTTGGACGAATATTGTCGAAATTCTGAGTAACATTGTACAAACTAAATAGCTGTCCTGAAAAAAATAATTCAGTTTTAAGAGTTTCAATAATAAGAAAAACAAAATCGATTTGCCTTTTCCTACTAAATTCCTGCATACAATTATACGACACCTCGAAAATATTACTTTCGATCCTCGTAGGAAAATTACAACAAATAAAAGTATGCAGAATTGAAGCATAATGAATTCTGCTAATCTGAATTCCTAGTTTTTGATTGGATCCATTAGCAGTAGAAAAAGGCTGATAGGTTGCTTGCCTAAAACTGCATCAAAACTACATGTTTCAATTTTTACGCGAAGAGAGTTAAAAGTTTCTGTTATATTGTGAATATTTGTTATCCGACGAGAAAAATGGATTAATGAACAAATTAACAACGAAGATGACTTTAGTGAAATAAATATCGCGGATCAACGTTGCTTCATCAGCAAATTATTCTAAAATTTAGATCAATATGGTGTAATCCATATCTCTGGAAGACTCCACAAAGCGGCAATTCTGCATCGTTATTCAATATTGAACTTTAATCTTGGCCCAGGTGGGTTTCGGCACCTTTGGAAATATTCTCGTAAGGTTCCACTTACTTTATCCAAACGCAGTTTCGGAGGCGGATACGCAATATTTTGGTGAGCCTTTCATGCACCTGGAACGCTTGGTCTGCGCTTGACATTTCCAAGATGAACAGTGGAGAACACAAAAAAGTATAGCAAGAGAAAGAGATCTTGTTTTCAGGTACCCTAATCATTATATGTATGTTGTTATATTATAAAAATTAAATGGTAATATATATGGGCATTTCCATGGTGTCGCTCTTGGCTCTTGCCTAGGGCTATAATTGGTTTTAGTGTTGATTTTGAGTCTATGCTCAAATTTAAGAAATTTAGACAGAAGTCACTTTACGCGGCTGTTTAAACACTGATTTTAGCGAAACGGCTGGCTTTAAATGTTATGCGATAATATCATTTTTATATGCTTTTATTTACAATCAGAAATTTAGCGTTGTTTATTTTTTATTTAATTTTAAAAAGGTGTCGCACGCGACAGGTCGCACGCGACTGTTTTTATCATCATACTTTTCATGTAATTTTTTACTATTTAAGTAAATTAGAAGAGCTGTATCCATTTTATTTCGACTTTTTGCATTCTTCTTGTGATGTTAGTAAACAACAGTCAAAGCATAATGCCTCGGTTTGGATGTAATTATCAAAAGAAAACAGGCCCATTTTTATGATGTTTTTCATCAAAATAATGAAAAATTGTGTTTGCGCGAATATGCATTCGAATATTTCGAAATTTGTTTTAGAATATGATAAAACCCTTAAAATTTAATCAATTGACCTTTTCCTAATGTTACTATCTTGGAAAAAAAACATTTTAGGGAAGTTTTAGTTTTTTGGCCGCGGTTGACAATTCTGTGGAAATGCCCATATGTTTTATTTTATTTTTAAAAGTATGTGAGTAAAAAAATAAATAAAAATGAAAATTACAATTTATTTTTGATAAAAAAAAAACTCAAAATAAAACTTAACTTACTATGGTATGTAGATTTTCGCCAATATAATTTTATATTTCTATATTTGACGATAATAGATAAATATTGAAATTGATTTGAAAAATAATCATTATTAACGGTCCCTGCTTGTTTTTAATCAAGATAATACATACACCTATTCACCATGTCAGAGAGACCCAGCGCTTCATAAATGATCACTATATCAGAGTTACGGATTGGCCAGCATTCTTTCCTCGCTTGAATTTAATTGATAAAATTTGGCTTACTTAAGTTAGGCGAGTTTAAGCCAAAAACAAGAAATTTGAGGATGTCGAAAGCCCAAAAAAGCAAAATTTTGCGTCAAAAGTTTTCTTTAGACCAATATTTACCAACAAATAAGAATAATATATTAAGTAAATCGTAAGTAAGCTTCCCGATTTTCTTACGAGGATCGAGTATAATATTTTCAGAAAAGTACATACATCAATCCAACAAATGGACTCATTCTTTTTTGTTCTTTCCTGGGATACATCACAATTGTAAAGAGAGAAAAAATGTATTTCGAAAGACGTTTTATATATGTATAATCGGTAAGACATACAAATTTTGCGGACAGTCTGTCGATATCTGTATTTAAATATTAAATTAACAAATCATTATTTTTTGCGATACTTTCGATATAATATAGATAGATATATCACATCAGACTCTCGATGTACATCCCTTGAATAAAATAAAACAAGTTTTAGTGTTTCAATTGCAACAAAAATCGCTTCGCATTTTACTAAGAGTTCTGCGTTTGGCCCATAAAACAATTAATTTGAAAGTGCGCTCATTAAAATAATATAAATATAAATAAATATTTAACAGCATTCTATGTTCTATTTTCTCCGGCTCATAAGTATATTTGTTGATGTATACATACATTCATATATTTATACATATAAATATATATTTATAAAAATTATTGTACTTCGCTGCTTACAACAAACTATTTTACAATTTTACAAGAACACAAATTCAAAACTCGCTAAAGGTATGTATTGTGTGTATGCTAAGGGGGAATGAATGTACACAGAACGAAAATTAAAAACATTAACAATTAGAATAATAACGCATACATCTCTTTTAATTTTAAAGCATTTGACTACATCGCACACTTTGGAACATTGCTTGGACTGAGTATAAATAATAATTAGAGCTAACTAATAAATATGCAGAGTTAAAGATATGCCATTTTGTATGAGTGAAACTAATTAATGGACTGTTTTGTGGTTGCGGTTGCGGTTGCGGTTACTGCCTGGTTCCTTCTTTGTTCCCTGGTTTTGGATATTGATATATTCCAATTGTTTTCGATCATTTGGCTAACAGTAGCTACATACATGTTGTTTACTAGTAGAATCGTCAGAGTCTAAAACAAAAACATCGCATTCTGCGTCCGATAATGAAGGTAGTTTGTCTTTTGGTTTCGTGTTTTTCCCCTTTCGTAATTGTTAGTTGTCGTGTATCTGCATTTCCAATTCCACATCCGAGAGATTTATCTGCCGCATTGAATTGATGAACATGTACCGCGACGTGTAGATGTAGAGCCAGCGAAACCACTTCATCTGCGACTGATGCTCCTTCATGGCACTCCTCACAATGGCCGCCTCCTTCCAGTTCAGAATGCACCTAAAAAAGACACCACAAGCAATGTAATTCAAGGGGCCAAAGCTTGCGAATCGGGCCAGAATTTCATACCAATGCGTTGACATAAAGCACGTGCACAGCAGATCGAAAATGGACAGATATTTTCTGACCACATTTATCGAGTCCAAGGTGTAGAACTTGCAATCTGCAACGGGATGATGATGATATGTACATAAAAAATTGCTCTATACTATAATATCTAGGGCTATAAATAGCGACAACAGCAAAGATGGGCACGCCAATTAACATGCACCCATTGTTTGCTGCCCATCGCCGCCCGCGTGACTCGCACGCCTCCTCGTCTCCTCACCTTTGGGCAAAAGGTTGGCCAAGCACAGCGAGGCGGCCGCATAGTACACGGCGCAATGGTTTGGATGCGAGCTGACGCCATCGCGATCGAACGTGAATATCGCCTGGATGTCTAGACTTTCGACGGCGTGGAGTATCAAGCTAGCCACCACATCCGGGCGCCAGTCCACATTCGGGTCATCCGGCAGGTTGGTAGCATTCATCAGCACGATGTTGGACTCGGGCACGCCCAGCTTGGAGCAGGAGCGCCACAGTTCCTGGCGCCTCAGCTTGGCGGCATGCTCGTAGTTGCCTGTTCATAGGAAATGACTTGGATTATTCGGCCAATAAATCACATAAATTCAGATTAAACCACACAAATTGTAAATTAAGGTAATTGCACAACTCTGAAGCTAACCATTTACAGTCTGTGTAGGTCTTTCTGAGAGTTTTTGAGACCTTTTCGGTGATGGGTTCTTGGATATAAATTAATTTCGGTTCTGGTTTTGAATATCTATTAATAGCCGGTGAAAAACTAAACCAAAACCGTAGAGGTGCAACCGTTTTGGCTATATAATAAAAATACATTCGTTTGTGTAATCTAAAACAAAAAATGCATTAATTGATTATGTTTTCCATCGAACCAAGCCCCTGACAGTTCAGTAATGTTAGTTTGGATATCATCCGAGACTGTATTAATGGCCAAAACAATAACCGTAAGACTATATGCAGATTCAGAGTCGATTTTGAGAGTCGTAAATGGTTTCCATATGCATTCTATCAATGGTTACGGCGATTATAGGAAATGATGTCATTAATGCCTAGCTCTCACCGTTGGACAGGCAGAGTATGTACACCTGGCAGCCTTGACGCTGCGTCAGCGAGTAGATCAGCGGCCCAAAGAACATGCACTCGTCATCCGGGTGGGCAGTTACCAGCAGGACGCGCTCCATATGCGTCGTCTTTGGTAGCCGGACGCTACGCAGCCGTAGTCCGGACTGCAGAGCCTGTTTCAGTCCACCCGACTCCCGCTCGTCTCCGGATCCCGGTGGAGCATTGTTGTTGTTGTGCGCCCCGCCAGCCGGCGGCGTGGAGAGCCAGAAGGTGAGCTTGTAGAGGCCAAGGCATACTAGCAAGTACACCGCACAGGCGATCACTACGTGCTCCAGTGCTTCGGCGGAAGTGGACTTGATACGGCAGTATATGGCCTGCGGGGTGAAGGTGAGCTGCTGCACCTGCTGCTGCAGTTGCCGCCAGGGACTGGACTCTCGATCGATGCTGCTAGAGATGCTGGCCACGTACTCGCTCAGCCAGTTAAATCTCATCTCTCATTGCGTCCGGCCGCGGGTGAGAATTTGGCGAGAAATTCTTCACCAAAAATGGACATGTAGCGGTGGCCAGGCGGAAAGGCGATAAAAAGCAGCGATCACGGTGCGCGGCGTAAAGTTAGACTATGTCACTAGGAGGATCGTTGCTTAGTTGGTAGTGTAATACTTGAAAACGTTTTGGTTTCGAGCCCGCGCACCGCTTTTGCTGCTAAAAACTATACATTTTATTCCTTTACGTGTTTTCGTCTTTCGGGGGCAGCAGCTAGGGATGGGC